CAACGCCCGAACCGTGGCACGCGAATTTTTCCCCGTGTCTGCTCGTTCTGGATTGTCGAAAGTTTTTTTTGTTGCGGCCACGTTGCCCATCTCGAACACACGCCACGAACACGAGTCGATTCTCGAAAGCGAGAACTTATCTGCTCGCGTGATTCCGGTTCCCGCAAGAACGAGCTACGAAAGATTTTTCCACACGTCCACTTTCGTGAACACCGTGAAATAGGAATCTCGTGGACGAGTTACCGACCGTGATTCAACACCAGAACCATCGACGATAAACGTAGATATATTCTATCGAATATCCGTACACATGACAAACTTTTCTGAAAATATACGAATTTATAAATTATATAATTTCTCTTCGTATAGCTTATCACTAGACTGCGGATTTTTATGCAAAATGATATTTTCTAAAGCAATTCATACATCGTATTCGGTTCCAAATAAACCAACAAACTTATTGGATCTGATGAAAGTTTTGTCCTTTATTGTATTTTATAGACTCCTGTAAGCTATAAATGTATAAAATCCGCAGTCTACTTATCACTTATAAGCAAATAAAAGATTTGCGAAAATTGCATTTGATCATCGTTAGAAGAGCATAGTAACCCGGTCGTTTTGCATGTTTACTTTTTTTGGTAATTCCAGTCTTAACCCATGCACCACATAATTATTAAACAGATACGTGTGAAATATGTTTTTTTTACATTATTTATAATAAAAAAATATATTATACATTTAATTATTGTTATTATGTAGTGAAATATACATTTTTTTCGAGTATTAATGGGTTAAGCAGGACGAGGGGCTTAGGAAATTCTGATGACCCGTGATGCTCTTAATGACGCCGAATGTATGCCTGTATTTCTCCTTCCAATCGTACGATTTTGCGTCGATTGATTTCACGATAATGATTTTCCAGAAAAATACAATTCCCGCGAACACGAACCTGCGATTTTTCGATTATTCCACCGCCATCGTCGATGTGAGCGTTTCATTTACCAAAGTGATCAACTTTACAAAAATATACAAAGTTAAGCATCAATGCAGTTAGTCGATAAAATGCAAAAAAATAAAAAAAATAGTGTTAGTCAATTTGGCCTGTGAACGCCTGCACATCACTCGAAGTTTTCAGCAATAAAATCGTAATTCTTGTTCGTCTCGGTAATAATTCGGGGTTTTCGTTGGATCGACAAGCAGGAATTTCAAAATGGTTTGATTAAAGCCAAGCCGTGTGTCGGAACGCGATCGTACATTGAGGCCCCCTCCTCCTCCGGGCTCTGCGAAAGCGATCATAAAGGAAACGGTGGCAGCCCGATAGGGGCGTGAAACTCTGGGGATGTAGTTGTCGTTCGTAGTCGGGGCGAAAAGCAACAATATGTCTGGGTGCCAACGGCCAAGCGCTATCGTAAACATCGATCTGCCAGCCTCCAGCGTGTTCGGGGAAGGCCAATGGTGTTCCGTGCAGATAGCGAAATCCCCCCACTCCCCCCCTTCCGATATCAATATCGCACGGCAAACTCAGCGTCGTAGACAAATGTCGAATTTAAGAAAGGCCGCGGGGAAACAAGGAGGAACGACGTCGAACGCTCCTGCAGGGAATAGCTATATGTTCCGAAAGGGCTGAAACTTCGTGGGGATCGCGGAGAAACTTTTGTCCTGAGGACGATGCATTGAATCATTTGTATCGAAACAACTTGGGATGACTGAAGCTTATGCTACGAGTTTACGTCCAACAATCATATCGCGTAGGATATCGAGTAATAGAAAAATTAGTTTTAAAGTCAGTGTTACACCAGTGTTAATATTGAGGTTTAGCACAGTGATAGAGAAATTCTGAAGTTTTGAAATACATATTTCCTAGTGTCGCGTGAAATTCGAGATCCATGGAAATGGAGAGAAGGAAATTGTGTACGCGACCTTTTTCTCTCACCGAACCGATCGATTAAACAGATCAGGGTGGGGATAGGGGTTCTCGTCGGGAGATATTATTGCGGATGGAGAAAAAAAAATATATATAGGGGGGCGAAGCGAGAGAAAATAACCCGCTCTCGTGGACCGGGATTGCTAGTCGGCCTCGTTTCGTCGCTGTTGTTGTTGTTCTGGCCGGAATACAGTCCACGGAACCGCACGAACGAGCAACAGCAGCTCGTCGCGATAAACCGTCGCGCGCTCCATGGTTATTAAAAGCGGCATAAATATAAAAGTAAGGAACAAGGGGTGGGCCCCCGAGGCTCGATTGCGTTCCCTTGGAAAAAGTGCACGATGGGCTCCTCCCTGAGAACGAGGATAACAACGTAACGGGGGAAAGGGCCGAGCCTTTTGGGCAACGCTGGTTAAAACGTGTTTCTGCTAACTGAACGTTCTACCTGGCCGCAGTAGTAAACAATGAAACGTTTTAAATGAAAATTGGGGAAGGGAAGAGAAGGATGGGGGCACGCTTCTCCTGGTGACCATTAAGGAAATGCAATCACCTCGTTTGAGGAGACGGACGAACTCCAAACAACTCGTTTCTAGAATTTTTCGAGATCACTTGCTGGACGAAACAACGGGAGAATTTGCGATAGGCTACGATGTGTGTGTGTATAGATATCTTGTGATTTGTGTCGATTCTTTCATCGTTATGGTTCTGGTTAATCGTGTGCGAGAACTTCGAGGAATTCGTGATTAGCGTGTGTGATTAAAATGTAAAATTTCCTGTGTACGAAATTACCATAGTTTCTAGAATGTAGGATGAATTTCTGTTCTCCCGTGGTTCGTTACCCGTTTCAATTCTCCCCCGATCGACCGTGACGATGGAACAATCGTGTCACGACGCACGGAAACGAAGTGTCGGTTTATTTGGGGACAAAGCTTGTGTGCAGACAGGAAGGTCCGTAGAGAACGGTGAAACAGAGGCAGTAGGTGAGACCCATCAGTATCCGACGATTGTTCTCATCTTTCGTCGGCCGTGAACAAAGAGATGAGAGGTGTCTTCCGCGAGAGGGTAGCACAAAAATGGAAGAAGCTCGCGTTGAAAGCTCCCATCGGAAAAATCAGACAGGGGATCGTCCGTATGTGACCCAGTTCCGCGGACTTCCCACCGTCTTCGATCCATTCTGGACCAGACGATCGCGTTTCACGTGTCACAGATTGATCTTATTCGGTCCTCTTTGTTCCATCTATTATAATCCGTCTATGAACTTAGTCTAAACTGTTGGATTCCAAGTGAAGGAATATTAACAACACTTTCTTTAAACTTAACAAGAGATTTTATTTCAAACGGTTGTGTCGAAGTGAACCACGAATCGTGATCGGTAGACATTACTCTGTTATTAGCAGTCCGATCGAATGACTAAGGATGATGCAGCTAGGTTACTTTGCTCGGTCGCTTTATCTATGAGCGAGTAAGAAGATTGGTCATTCGACAAAGGCGTGAAGTTACAAATGCAGCGACTCGGGCGCGATCTTCTCGGAAAAACTTTCGAAGCTTCTAGCTCCCTTTACATTTTATTACTCGTACTTCCGACCCAGGTGGAGGAGGGTAGGGTAATTTGCTTCTTCTTGGATTATCGGAGAATCTCTTGAAACTCGTGTTATTAAGAAGTTACTGGCTCGGCAACGCCCAAGAAAATTCAGTTGCAGAATTCCGCTTACTCGACGGCCCCGGTGTATTCCCTTCAGCGACAGACGGGTTTATCGATCACTGCCGGATTATTATTACGATACACGATCGAATATTGGAGTCTCGTGCGACTTGGTCTTCAGAGTACTGTCACGTTGTGTATCCATTTGAAACTAGCTTCGAGGGGTTGTTTCACCCCTTAAAGTCACGCTCTCAGCCGACAAAAAAAATACGTATCCCTTATTTTTTACCGCTTAATAGACATACGAAGTTTTATCAAAATCGGAGGGGCACACTTCCGTGCCTTCCCTTGTCAGATAGTCGATAGAACGCTCGCAGAGGGCTTTAATTAGTTCCAGAAGGGAAGCCCCCAAGTGGTAGGAATTACGCCGTTGTTCATATTGCATTCATCGAGGAATTACTGTACTCTCAAGTGGACGGTTGCCTTAAGCATATACTTAAGCGAGTCGTGTAGATTTATCGGGCGCTAATGCATCGATGATTTCTTGCCGCTGGAACCGTCCCGCGGCAACGGTGTGCACCGACTGATCCATGAATCACGTCGAACAATGCCGCGGAACCGGAAGAAGGAGAGCAGCTAAATCAAAACCGCGCGCTCTTAAGGAACCTCGAAACGTGTACCAGGCGGATGGCAACGAGCCATCGAAAGGAGAATTATCGAAGGCGAGCTTTTCCGACCGTTCGCAAGATAAATATTGGGAGAGGGGATCGACATGGTAACAGGGTCTCTGTCGACCAGATGGTGAATCGGATCTGATCGATGAACATCGTAATAAAAATTTAATAAAAGGGCTACCACCCCGAGGGGAGGTGTATTCTCGTTCGAAAGCAACGAAACTCTCTTGGCTGGAACCCCGATGATGATTTAAGGGGATCGATGGAGCGGCGAATGGTCTCGTTTTCGAAATAACTCCCGATGGAATGTGTAAAAGCGCGGGCAGTCGGCCAAGAACCTGGTCTAGTAATGTGTAATCGATTTATTCACTGTTTATTTCGCCGGATACCGATATTCCGGGATCTTAGGCACTTTCACAGGCCAGGATTTTGGTCGTCGGCTCTATACTGGCTTTATATTAATTATTTATTTATTTTTATTTTAGTATGTAAACGGGCATTGCCCGTTTGTACAGTATTTAAACATTGAGAATGACGAGCTTCGTGCAAAGAATTATGAATGCGAGGTTCGCTACTATACGGCACGGAAAACCATTATATTTATGTGTCTTAGGTTTTAAACTATGAGTCCAATATAATTATATTTAATTTTTATAATTATATTATGAGTCCAATATCTCAATAAACCATCCGAATTTATTTCCCCCCGAAACTATGCGTATGTCGTTGCTCAGATGCATTTATCTTTTCTGTTGTACAGGTGCAATGAGCTAATGACGTAATAGGAAGCACGAGGCCCTCGAACCTTGGCCTCGAGTACCACCTCTCAGTGTGACCGTCGCCGGCAGTGGCCCAATCCCCGCCGGTCGTCGTTCACGTGTCTCCTTCCCCCGAAACACGTACAAATACGGTACGGAACTAGATCCGGAGGACATGTCGTTCCTGTTGAGTCGTGGCGGCCGAAAGGGGCCCATCATCTGCTTCGTCGGCCTTCTATTGATCTTCGCTCTCTATCAGCTGGGCATCATCTGCGGATCGATGAAGTCCGTTCCCACCGCGATGATGGTCGCTAAAGAGGTGAGCATCACAAGGTACCAGACCCTACTTACAACCCTATCCTTGATCCCCTGAATCATCAGAATTCAAGCAAATGTTGTAATCGTTATTGGATCCCTTGGAATAATCACATATTCCTGTAGAGGGTGTCCCAAAATAGCTTCAACTCCCGGAAATGAGCTGCGATTGGTACGCTGAGTTTTTCCTTAATATCTTGTTAACAAAACCTCGAATAACATTTTTGCTAAGGAAAAAGTTGTTTCAAATCATCCCAGAAACCCCCATTTCCGGGAGTCGAATTTATTTTGAGACACCCTGTACAGTGTTTTATTATCCTATGCCTGGAGAATATATAGTTATCTTTGTTACCACGTTCTCGCGGTACTTCTGTCGCTGTAGTTCCAAACAGGCCGTCCAAAGGAACAATCGCAAATCGAAACTCGTGTCGGGACTTCCGCGAAGTTGCTCGAAGCGTGGATGTCACGCTATCATCGGACATTCAGAGATCGCGAACACCCGGGCGATAGAGGCGGTGTAATTACAAGTCAGTTTTATCCAAGCTTTCGCGAAATTGTTCGGGGAACAGGTCGTGTACGTGCCGCGATCGTGTGCGGAACGAATCGTCGACGGCCCCGAATACCTGGACAAACGAGTTCACGGAAGTTCGTACGTGTTTCCCGCGAAACGGGCGAAAATTACGCGATTCGACGGTGGCGGGAACGGACAGCCAACCGAGCAAAGAATGTTCGTAAAATTGTTGCCCGGTGGTATGGCAGATGAAGGAGGAGGCTAGAGTTTTTGACGGTCGAAAATTAACAAAGCTTCCCTCTCTCTCTGTACTTCGTTCACCCCAGATGCCCGCGAGGGATGAGCTATTTATTCACCGACCACGAAAATCGAAAACAGTTCACGTACGACCGAGCCTCGACGAGCTTTGCGGAACGCAACGCCCACTTTCGCGAACGAGGATCGGCGACGGCGGGTCCCACACCTGGGGGGGGGGGTGGAATAAGTTATTAACGGGTTCGCCCAGTCGCGAGATGAAAATAGTTTTCTAATTTAAGGATCCGATTAAAAATCGCCACGCGTGACCCGATAATTCCTGCGCGTCCCCGGTATCGCGTGCACATCCCATTCCCCGCAGGAGACGGCGGTTTAATTCCAGATCTCATGGACAATATGAAGGCCGTAAATTTTATAAAATAATATCGCGTGTCCCGGTTCCCATTCGCGGGATCCTTTATTTATAGTTCAATCTTCGAGACTGGTCCTCGAGGATCACTCGGAAGCTTCGTCTCTGGCCGATATAGGGTAAATCAGGGTGTAACGGCAGTCGTTTAAATGTAATTCCACTCAAAATGATCCACATGTCAGGGACTTTGTTCAAAATGGAATATGATGTATCGTATCGAGTTCATTTTTCGATTATTTTAATTCAGAAGTATAGTAGAGCAATTTTTTCGGATTAAAACAATCGAAGAACGAACTCGATACGATAAATAGTTTTCGAAATATACATTTTTAAGTACATCGCGGTTTCACCTGGACTACATCATATTCCATTTTGAACAAAACCCTGACATTGACCGCCAAAAGTGATCGATTTCGCGTGGAATAAGCGTTAAGCAACAATTGTAACAAAATCATAATATTACGACAATTGTACATTTTAGGCATTCCGTTTTGTAATAATAATAATGACCTGGTCGCTAACTACCATTACCCCGTTCTCCCTCTATCTCTCGTAATTTACACGAATATAGATATCACCGGAAGGCCTTCTCGAAGTCGAAAGTAGGCTAACGATATTAATTCACGATGAAGAGATACCGGATAACAGAGATCGAACAGTCTGTTCTATCCACGACCCTACCGACCGAACACGGTCTATAGAACGTAGAAAATGGCCTGTTCGAAAGGGGCTGTTGTCCCAAAGGCGGATCAACGAAAGCTGAATTTGTGGCCCCTGAGGGAGTTGATGGTAGTAACACCGCGACAAAAAGAAATACAAACGGTCGTCCGATAGTCCATTCCCTACTGGATGGCCCGCAGGAACGAGCTATTAGCCCGATCGTCGAAGCGTGAACCGAGGATAGCAAGGCGGTGGTTGTCTCGCGCGACGATTTCCGCGAGTATACCCGGGAAAATTTCAGTAGAGATTCGCCGGAATTAGGCGAGACGCAATTAAAGCAACGCCGGGCGGACTTTATCGCGTGAATTAACTACGTTCACAGTTGTTCCGTTTCTTCTTGTCCCCCTCCGGTAGGAAGGAGGCCCATCCACGACGTCAGCCTTGGCGACAATTAAGTTTCCCGAAGTTTTTATCCGTCTGCTTTATTTGTCGGAAAATTTCATTATGATCCGGACACCGGCCCGTATAAAGTTCCTTATCGTCGGTCTCAGGAACTTGTTCGTGGTCCTCCTCCGCGATTCTTGCCGTCCGTTCTCGTTGACAGGGGAACTGTTCGTCATCGTTACCCCTTTTTTCCCATCGTCACGATCATCGTTCGACGTTCCCTTGTTAAACATTTCCTTATTCAACGTTTTCTTGTTCAACGTTCCCTCGTTCAACGCCCCGAAGAAGCGTCGAGGAGAGATTTTCACGGATTTTCCCGACAGGAGACTCTGGCTGTTCTTTATTTCGCCTCGACGATGTCCCCCAGCGCAAAATCGTCGGGGGAAGTTTTAATCGAATCTCGAGCGTCCTGCTGCATTATGAAAACAATTAATCGGTCGCGAACACGAGGAGGGACACTACGACAGGAGACACGAAAGAAAATCGATGGGACAAAAGCGGAAGACCTTCCGTTTGAATTTTAATTTCACCCCCTGTCTGCGTAGACGAGCGGCGAACACGTGTTTCTTATGCATAGCTCGCAAGAAAATGCCAAGAATTCGTTGCGTGAACTCGTATCGCGGGCCTAGAACACGGCTGAGATTCCCACGGAACTTCGTTTCGACGAAACTTCGAGATTGGATTTTTCTTCGCACGAAGATTAGTCGCTGAGCAATCTCACACGTTCGCCGTCGTCGTTGGAAAAGAACGAACGGAATCGCGAGGTCGAGACACGGGTGGATCGCGATGCTATCTCGTCGCGAACTTATCCGGCTAATTGCCCCCGCGTCATAATTGCTATCGTCTTCTTTGCTCGGACCGATTAATCGGGACCCTCGTTATCCGCCTGAAACTTTTCAGTGATCGATGAGACGCGACCGAGGAACGTATATCTGTATGATTTAATGGCTGGGATATCCTTTTTCCGGTCGGGGAAAAGCTCTCTCCACGCTGAAAACGCTCCACCCAGGCAATAGACCAAGCGGTCATTTCGTAAGAGTCCACAGCAAAAATTCACTTCTATTCGAACAAAATGTTTCATTTCGGTTAAATAACGAGCTGCTACATTTTGATTCTGGAGCATTGTGTGGTTCTCCGTGAACCCTGGTCGTGCCCCCTGCCGTTCCTTTTCCCAAACTTCCGTCATCGTCGACGAGGGGTAGGGAAAAGAAACAGGACGAGAGGGACACGAAGAAGCAACACGGCTGAATACGGACGTGCCCGCTCGACGCACCGCGTTTCTGCCGAGAACGCGCTAAAACGGAAGAGAAACGAGCTTCTGTCGGCCGGCCTCACCCTTCGCGCGGAACATAAATCGCGTCGGTTGAGTTTCACGCGTGCTTTTCTCTGCTCGTGAGCTTCGGGGCGAAAAGCGAACGGAGAACAGAAGGCCACGGGACGGGGTGGCGTTAGCTCTGCGAAACTCCCACCCCTCCGGTTACACGATGGAATGCTAATTGCGAGAAATGTATATACACTTTTTTTTCTCCCTTTCGTAACCGACGACGACGATTGCCACGTGACTTGAAAAATCGTCGAAACCACGGGAGTGACGACGCGTCATCGTCCCTCCGAGGGGAGTTTATTTTATGAGCGTGAAGAAAGAACATCGCGATGGAAATAACATCCAGTTTAACCCTCATCCGTCTTCTATTTTCTCAACTTAATTTGTCCCTCGGTGTAAAATTGATCCAGTGGTAAATATTAATACGATAGGCTACCTGTCAATAATGTGTTAAATCAGCTGCAATAGACTCGCGTAAACCGATTAAAAATCGACTGCTTAGTTCCATTTATGACGTCTGTAATAATAGTTAATTATGCAACAAAATTTTCGATCTAACAGCTAAGCAGTGAAATAATCTAAACTGATCTCGTTTCGTGGTCCACCCTGTAGAGTGGGAGATCTATTCGTGATCGAGGGGTTGGTGCAGAGACATAGAATCGCTTTAGGGAATACACTTCTATTCACTGGGATTATCTGCTGTTCCCGTTTCGAGGAGTACCGACAAAGTGTAATTCGGTACCGTCGTCTATTCCCTTCTAACCTGTCGGTGATATGTTATACAGACAATTTTTGACGTAACAACTGTTTCGTTAATTTATCCGCGCCCGATCGTAACTATCTCGCCCTGATTACCAGCGATCGTAAATATCAATTGTCGATTGTTAACACGCCTGGTCGCGTGGAATTTTAATCGCGCCTCTAATTAAAGTCGTCACCCTCTGGCGAACTCGGGTCTGTTCGTCGGGCGCGTCGGGTTTGAGTGGCACACGGTTAAAAATTCGAAAGACGACGGAACCTGTGGCGGTTGCAACTGCCTCTGAAATAAAAAAATAAAAAAAAATAAAAATATACAGAAATGATAGAGGTACAAGTGCCATTGCGAAATGTATTTTTCATCGTCATGGGGGAACAATGTTGCCGCCGCGTTCACCGCGTGCCCGCAATTTCGTTTGAATTTCAAACCGACCGAACCGACTCGTCAACTCGGAAAACACGCTATATTTTCGATTATCATCCCCACCCCAAACCCACCCCAAACCCACCCCTCCCGTTAATTAATTTCGTTCGAACAAATATAGGCACACAATCGGTATAATAATTCAAGGCGTGGCAACGTACTAATCAGTACGTTGATTACCGGTTTTTATTTTATCTCTCGTTGGTGGTAAACTGCCAGCGTGGAATTTCGGCCGAGGCGGAGGGTTAGGAAGGGGTGGTGGCTCACTCTCCCCGAAGAGGAGTTGAAAAGAATGAAAAAAAAACCGGCGGACACGGAGAGGTGTGCATTATTTTCGACGTAAAAAATGCTAATTACGAGACGTGTTTTATTTCAGCCTTTTTTTTTTTTTTTTTTGCAACGACGCGCCGACCGCGGTGCAAGCACGCGCGGACATTTTTCGTCGGAATAAAAATTTCGCTGTATTTCACTAAAGGACGCGGACGCGACCACGACCACGATGCATCCGTGAAAATTATACATATACTAATTCATTTGCAATTTATGCGCGGCTTCAATGAATCGCAACCGTATGCGTTTATTAATAATCAAGCGAATCGCTACGGGCGACTCGTGTTCGAATTATGAACTTATTGATATAATGACGTTTACCCCTCGATCGACTCCGCGTCGTTATGAATATTTCCCTTCGTCGCAGTCATTACAGTTAATTAAACGTATTCGATGCGATATAGTTAATGCAGACCTTTAAATTTATTCGGTTTATCCCGTCGTGAACCAGGTCAACAATCTCCGATGTTTATCGTATTCACGTCGACGTGCATCCTGTATTTACCATTCCTTGCGACGCGATACCCCTTTTTGTCTTTCGTTTATGTTCAAACGTTTTTTTTATTTGCTTTCTATCTCGTCTTTTTTCGCCCGTGGCAACGACAGAAAATAAATGAATTGAACGATGATTCGGGCCTGAACTTTTCGTTCTACAGTTTCGGTGGTGTCCACCTGTTCTTTTTTATATGTATTGTCCAGGCATTTTACAAAGTTATCAGTTGAAGTTGAACTCTGAGGGTTGCAATTAATATTTCCGGTGACAGTTCGAGCCAATCCGATGGTTAATGTCGCTCGACTATGAACACCATGCTGTTCCTCCCTTTGGTAAACCGATCCTCGAAAACACGACAATGGGGCAGCTAAATGGGAAAAGAAACTCGAGCCTGAGAGAAACCAAGGGAGAACGCCGAGCGCTCTCTGATTGCGAAACTTTGTGATTTGCTCGAAAGTTGTTCAAACTTCGTACGTCGATCGAATCCTCGAAACGAATCCTCCGTTTATACAAAATTCAAAGCGCCATCCAGCCTGCCCGATGCAGGCTAAGCGTGATATCCTCGATGAGTTCGTTCGTTAGCCGATATTACAAGGACAGAGTGGAACTCTCGCTGTCTGATCGAAGTTTAATCAACCACCCACGGGAAAAGTTGTTCGGCCGTAATTTTGTAAGATAGTTTAACAAACTATCCCTCCGTTGAACCTCCGCCTGGGAACTTCTGACATTCGTTAGTGCTCCGCCGATACTGATTATCGTTACTATTAAACCGAACGGAGGAAGAAATTTTCTACAGTCTCCACTCTTTGTTCTTCGTAGCATGAACTTTCTGCGCGATGCAATTATAGGTAATTATAGGTAATTAAAATAGACTGTGGATTTTTTGCGTTGCCTGTAGGGCTCTGCGAAATACAATAAAAAGAACAAAACTTTCATCGGATACGACGAGTTTTCTATTTTATTCTCAACCTAATGAGGGAATTCAGAAAAGAAAGAAATTCTTAGTTTTGTTCCTTATCTTTACGAATCACTTTTATAAAATGTCATTCTGCATACAAAATCCATGAACTGGTTATAAATCGTTGTTAGAGTTTTATAGTGAGGTTTGAGAAAGAATATGGAACAAGTGAAGTGTAGGAAAAACGCCTTTAGCTATAGAAGACCATCATAGGAACCTTCGAAAGGTTATTACAGGTTGTTGGTTGTTATATGACACCCTTGTCGTTGACTGGTGTTAGAATGGTCCTGGACCATCGTCATTAAAGGGGGTGAATATCCCTTTTCCTAATTCTCCCCCCTACACCATCTTCTCTATACAGTCTGGTCATTTTTCTTTTTTTTTAAATTCTGCAGAAATACGTGATGGGCCCGTTCGATCACAAGAGGTACACGTACGATCGTTATATGCCGTTGATTTTCATCGGCGGCGTGCCACGATCGGGCACCACCCTCGTACGCGCGATGCTCGACGCGCATCCCGATGTCAGGTGAGTTCCATTCACGGGACAAATTGCCAATTAACGCCCGATACGATTGGGCGTCGAGTGCCCTTGATCAATCCTCCGGTGGCGCCGTCCGAAGGCCCCTTCGAACAGAGAGCCGGAAAGAGCTGATACGCGAATCGTTTTTCCCGTCAGGTGCGGTCAGGAGACCAGGGTGATACCGAGGATCCTGCAGATGAGGATGCACTGGCTGAAATCGGAGAGGGAGAATCTTCGGCTTTCCGAGGCGGGAATTTCGAAAGAAGTAAGTACTCGTCAGAGGGGCGAACATAATTCAGACTCTTATCGATTGTCGTCTGGCAGTTATCGAGAATTTACTGTACAGGGTGAACCACGAATCGTGATCAGTAGAGATTACTCTGTCAGCAGCAGTCCGATCGAAAATGTTTTTATCGGGTATAGCATTTGTCGATTTTATTAATTTATTATTTTAAAATTATTGAAAAATTAAGGTAAATGTTATGTTATGATACTTACCGAATTCGTCTTGAAATCCTGTAACAGATAGGCGTAGAAAAATTATAGGTGTCTTTGCAAAAAAATTGAAGGTGACCTTGAAGAATCATTTGACAAAAAATTTGCTGTAATCGCAAAAAAACATTTTCGATCGGACTGCTAATAACAGAGTAATCACTACTGATTACGATTCGTGGTTCGCCCTGTATATGGATCGTGGACTAGGAGGTATATACATCACACGTATGATTGTCTAGAACTACGATATAGTAAAATGTTCATAAGAATTGTAGCTAGATTTCATTGGAAAATGGATAGAACTTCCTCGTTCTCTACTGTTCACCACACTGACCGATTGGTCGAATTGGTTTAGGAGGCCCGTTTCAGTTCGACGAAACGAACGATATTAATTACGAGATAATAAATTTTGCCCAGGTGATGGACAGCGCGATAGCAGCGTTCTGCCTGGAGATCATAGCCCGGCACGCGGAACCAGCGCCGCGATTGTGCAACAAGGATCCCCTCACTCTGAAGATGGGCTCCTACATTCTCGATCTCTTTCCAAATGCCAAGTTTATCTTCATGATCCGCGACGGCCGTGCCACCGTGCATTCCATTATCTCGAGAAAGGTAAACGACGACGGCCGATCGAAGCCTCGAGCTGCCCGCCTCCGCGCGCGCGCGTACGCCTCCGTTTCGCTCTCGATTCATGCAAATCAATGACAATCCCTGTCCCAGGTGATTCGTGAATATTAAAACGCGCACGGTCGTGAAATAAAACGAGAGAAATCGGGAGAAGTGCTCGTGACGGAAATTTATTTCTTCTCTCTTTTTTTTTTTTCACCGTCGCGCAGAACGAAAAGGAACGTCAGTTGTCGAATGTAAATTCATGTAAATCGCGAACAACGACACCCGTTCCACGGTTGAACCGATTCGATCTAGCGTAAAAGGAGGTATTAGCTTGAACAGAATTACATATCGCTTGAATCAAGATGTATCCAGTTGTCGAGCATTTTTGAGAATCGTTACATCGATTTCTTTTTACGCAGGTCACCATCACGGGCTTCGATCTGTCCTCTTATAGGCAGTCTCTGATCAAGTGGAACCACGCGATATCCACGATGTACGGACAGTGCAAAGAGATAGGGTCCGAAAAGTGTCTGATGGTTCCCTACGAGCAATTGGTACTGCATCCACGTCAGTGGATGAAGAAGATCCTGAATTTCCTGGACGTTCCGTGGAACGAGTCTGTCATGCATCACGAGGAATTCATTAATAAACCGGGCGGTGTGCCACTCAGCAAGTAAGAAATCCGTCGACGAAGAATAACAAGCTGTCCCAGCTACTATTTCCGTGTTTCGATCGTCTTCTCTATCGTGCGTAGCCCAAGTTAAGGGATTATTGTTCGAAACTATGCTAGACAGAGTGTACGACGAATCGATGGACACAAGAAGGGAACGGTAACTAAATTAACTGTTCTGCTTTTGGTATGCAGGGTCGAGAGGTCGTCGGACCAGATCATAAAGCCGGTCAACCTGGAGGCACTGACCAAGTGGGTTGGCCACATTCCGGACGACGTGGTCAGAGAGATGCCTGACATCGCGCCGATGCTTTCTGTCCTCGGCTATGATCCTTATGCTAATCCGCCGGTCTACGGAGCGCCGGACAGGCTGGTTAGCGAAAACACCAGACGGTATGTGTATGTCGGCAACGGTGTTCGATTGATCCTTCCACAGTCCAGGATCCATTTCCCATATTCCCCCAAAATAGAGTACACGAAACACCATAGGTGCATTAACCAATCGAACTTGGTATCAACGTTTATATGCCTTTAAACAATTTTAACATTACTCAAACTGTCCCATTTCTGTTCCTCCGCGTTAGGGTCCTGGCGAACGGGGAGGTATGGGCGGCGAGGGCGCGCCAGTTCTCTCTGGAGAAACTGATAGAGCCGAGCAAAGAGGACGAGACCACCAACGCGGTAAACGCGTGACCTCGGTTACATCCTATCCTGGATGCGCGTACCTTGAGCCTGTACAATTTCTGCAACGTTTGGACGAGCCAGTAGAAGCTCTTGGATATCCCAGTTCGCGGCGAATCAACCCAACGGAAGGATTTGTTCGTGGTGTTTCGGCGAACCGTATACCAGACAAGGGAGAACAGAAACTGCGTGCGGAACGTTAGTATTTTAAGGATTTGAATCTCGATCAGGCGTGTACGACGCTGAATTCCGTATCTGCGACACGGAGAACGGTCACGAACGACGCGACAACGGCGATGGTTACACTCTTTTTTTGTATATTTTAACCGGTAGACGTTTAACTTGGAAGCCGACCGTGTAAATAGCCGCTCGGTTGCTTCGCATGATTCCGGCTTCGCTCTCTTTATCTCTTTCTCTCTCTCTCTGTCGGATCGGTTGCGTTGAACGGATAATTTAACGTGTAATCGTCGCCGATTTCCCGCGCGACCGTTTTCCTTTTTCCGAGCCGGAGATCTGGGGCGCGACCACTACGAATCGAGGCACCCGCGCGCTCGAACGAGACGCCGTGGAACTGATCGCGGTGTAAGTTCCGTTTCGTTCGCCCATTCTATCGCAGCGACCAATGGGAATCGTCGGAGAGACCCGCTAAAGAATTTCTGTACAATCACGAGCGACGGCCAGTGGATAGGAACGTAGACTTATGGATGTACGGAAGGGAAACCGGGCGACGCGTTTAGAACGAAATTGTCCTCTTCGGACCGAGAGGAAGGTGAACGGAAACGATGAAATGCAATGGAAATATTCATTTCCACGAAAAAACCAGCGACCTCTGTTATCTGTATTCTTATATTATGAGATATGAATTTCTAAACGAAGAGTTTAGGTTCTAGATTTTACTTATCGACTGTCGTCCGATCAAGCATGAGCGTCGATTGGTCACAGCGTGGTTCAAGGAAGTCCTTGCGTTCCTTCTTTTTTATACGTTCTTCTTTTTTTTCTCCCTGTCTCTCTCTTCTACGTTTGTAAAGTAGACTAGGAGTACTACCAAATATTGAAAGTCGACGCGTTCGCTGCCTCGTTGTTTTAAGGATTTTACAGTTTCGGCTTCCTTGTGTAATATAAATGTCATCCGGTACTTGCTTGAGATTCAGAGATCGAATTAGGGTAACTGGTTCGAACAATATCAGTTGCGGAAAATGTAAAATCTACCGATACGTTCGATGAATAGACGCCCTGTAGCGTATGTAAGCTTCAGCAGCGGACGTGTTATATAGCCCCTTTGTCCGAAATATTCCACACCCGCAACTTACTCTCGGAACATATCCACGTATTCTTCATCTTTTGTTATCGATTTGCAATTCGACAAATGGAAAACGTGCAAATATATTATACGCGTGAATCACTGGATATTGTCTGTCTTGTTTTGAATGGCTCTCAAGCTACTGGAACGTGAAACTGGCGAAAGTTTATTGTTGTGTCGATCGTATTAATATTTATAAGTCGCCGAGACGCGTGAAGACGCGTCCAATTAATATTTACAAGGACGAACTGTTTAACCGATAAATCGAGCCCTCAATTCATAAGTTATCCGTGTACTTTTGTTATCGACTATCATCGATAATAGTGCGCAACGGAGATTGTCGCAAAAAAAACAACATTTATTGTAACTCCGAGAGAACGATAAGTGTTCTGAATTGTTGTTAGATTCTTGTCCGACCGGCAACCGTAAGTGCAACAACTTCGATGTGGCATTATGTCATTCGTGTCAACCATGTTACTGTCTATCGAATTATACAATTAAATTATTTTAATATTACAGAACCTCTAATATTCCCTTCCTTCCGGCCTAACAAATGAAAATAAGTTATTTCATATTTACATATTAACGATGACGTTCCTTGTTTTTCGAAACTAGGTAAGTACAAATTATTAAAATAGTCAAAGTGTGTACCATACTTTAAAATAATCTAAGTTCGATAGAATAGATCTAATATCTTATTGTTAGAGGGCTTTAGACAAACCAGTGTAATATTTATACCAATCACATTTTCGGTGAGGGTTGTTAAACATTCTATCACTTGTTTTGTAATGCAAACTGTAATTGGTTATAACAAATATATAAAAATCGAGGTATTCAGAAAGTTGTAAGAAATGAATCGTTTTATGAACTTTTAAATGGAATAAATTTTACTTCATTGCAAATTATTAGACAATGACTACATCTTACATCTTTGACAACATATCTCCAAAATGTGATTGCTATCAATATTCTATTGTCGAAAATATTTAATGTATTGTTATTTAATTTCATACAAATTGAGGTAAGAAAATAATTCGATTCTATAAACTGGGCCAAATTTCCGGCTAGGGTAGTCTTCTTATAAATAGCATTTTCTATTACTCATACACTTACTAAACATTTTATAATTGGACAAAGCAGTATTAATGATCTTAATATTCAATGCCTATTCTGGAGTCCATTGTGTATATGAACCTCTATAGGCAATATATTGAATACATATATGATGAATGAAACATTAGTGGAGGAATGTGACAACCTTCGACTTCCTCCTTGCACATTAAATCAATGTAATCACACAATGATAATAAAAAATGGTATCCAATGAGAATATCATTGAATAGCTTGATCTAATTTCATATTTTATAACTTTCTTAATGAATGCATTCTATTAAATTACTAAGTACCCAATCTTTGTTTTTCAATTTTTCTTAATACAAAGTTGAGTCATTTTTATTGCATATTAAATGAAAAAGCATCAAAGGATATTGGCCTGTTAAAAGAACAGCAACTAATAAATGTTTTCGTCAGGATTTTGAGGATAATTATCCCGTGTGCGCGGAAGTTCTGTGACCCCATGATCTCACCACACGGGGTCACTGGCGTCTCCTGCGGGGGTTCTATGACCCCACGCTCTCCCCACACGGATCGCTGGTGCTCTACTGGGGCTCCATGACCCCAGGGTCTAACCGTACGGGTCTCTGGCGCCAAGTTCCGGGGTTCTGTGACCCCACGCCATAACAACACAGGGTCTCTGGCGGTGACACCGGGGGCTGACACCCACTTTTTGTGGGGGCGCCACCGTACAGCAGGTTTTTCCGCCATCTTGGATTTTTAAAAAGCGCGGGAAAAATTGGGATTCATGGGACATACTAGTGGCGCCGGCAAAAAAGTGGGTGGCGAAAGTTGGAACTAAATCCAGAACTTTTTCGATAGTTCGCACAGTCGCCACCAGATGGCGCTGCCTAAAAAGTGTTAGAATTAGTTCCAACTTTCGCCACCCACCTTTTTTGGGGGCGCCACTAGTATGTCCCATGAATCCCAATTTTTCCCGCGCTTTTTCAAAATCCAAGATGGCGGAAACGCTGGGGCCATATGACCCCACAGACGTTTCAGAATTAATTATTTTGTTATTATTTACTATTTTTTACTACTTTTTTGGTTAATTGATATTAGGAATAGGAGTGGAGATAGTGCCGGGATTAACGAATAACGCATATGCATGATTTGACTGTTTTTTATTGAAAAAATCGTACGAAAATATACAATTTACAATAGTATTTCTATAAATTTAACAACAATTGCCTTAAGTACTACTGACATACATGATTTTACAATATATTTATAATATTTGTATAGATACAATAAAAGTGCCCTAAGCTACTTATTTTACTTAAATCCTACTTATCTATATGATTTTACAATATGCTTGTAATGATAATTATATAAATTGTTGTTACTACATGTGGATTACGGGACAATGAACGGTAATGAAATGGCTTGCGTCAGTACACGTTTGAAAGTGATCCTTTATCGCTGTTGCTCGTACAACTCTCGAGCTCGGTTGAATGTTGCTCGTGCAACTGTCGACATCTGACTGACACTTGTGCGTGGATCCGTGAGCAAATTATATAGTAACCTCAGCAACCATGGCAGTTTCTGCAGATACTACTAGAGCCTAAGTTTAAAAGACGTAGGCAGTAGTTAGTTTCTGTAGTAAGCCAGGGACCCCGTGTGGTGAGATTGTGGGGTCGTAGAACTCACGTTGGAGGCGCCAGGGACCCCGTGTAGTGAGACCGCGGGGTCATAGAACCCCCGGTGGAGGCGCCAGGGACCCCGTGTATGTGTGGAAGTGGGGTCATAGAACCCCCGAGCAAGCGCAAGAGTTTTGAAACGTAATTCTTTATGTTGTTGCTCGTACGAGTCTCGAGCTTGGTCTGATGTTGCTCATGCAACTGTCGAAATCTGACTGACACTTGTGCGTGCTTCCGTGAGCAAATTATATAATAACCCCAGCAACTATGGCAGTTTCTGCAGATACTACTACAGCCCAAGTTTAAAAGACGTAGGCAGTAGTTAGTTTCTGTAGTAACCTGTTGAACCAGACAACTATAATTAGTATAGGATTGTACAATATTTATGCAGTTATATTTAAGACAATTCGATGAAATTAAGCTTATATTACCTG